CTCGACCTATTACGATCCCAGCTTGGGAGGAGGGACGAAACACGCTGCATTGCTATTGAGCTCGAGCCGGTTCGCTGGCGCAGGCAAGACGAGCGACAGTCGCTCGCGCTCTCTCAGCGACGGGAGGCTGTCCGGTGGACAAATCACTTGCGGATGGTTGGAGCTGTCCGGACGTCGCTGGCTGGTCCTGGGATCACGGAAGTCCATACAGGGACTTATTTTGGGGCCGGAGCCGGCTGGAATGAGAGGAGCGAGTTGAATTAATTACGTGTAGTAGGTAGACAGACAAGGCCGAAGTATGGTATAACAGCAGGTGATCTAGGTGGTCTATGGGGTCTGGCACACAATTCACAGTAACAAGGCTTCCTTCGCTTATGACATTGCGACCGCGAGATCATGAGACGGGAACCATCGGCCACGGGCCTTGATCAGAGGGGGGGGATGGATGATGGATGCGTCAGGATGGACCGCAGATCGTGGGTGCTGGTTCTTGGTGGCTGCAGGTCAAAGTGACGTTTTTGGGGCCTTGTTAGGCCCGGGGGCCAGCCAAAATGCAGGCCAAGTGCACCAAGGCGTAGGAGCTGGAGAGCAGGGGCACAGAATGCTAGCGGCACGCTAACTGGGTACTGAGCAGGTCCAGGCGCACCCACCCCTGTACTACTACCTCCAGATGTCTCTTCTTGGAGTCGCCCTGGTGGGTAGTGTACATAGGCTCTACATGGCTTGTTTGAGATGCTGCACTACCGATTCCAAGGCACTAGTGTACCTGCCCGGTAGTGCTTTGTGCTACCGTACTAATCGTAGCCTAGGAATTCGCCTGTCATTGCAACCTCGAGTGCTACTGTATATGTAGGTATGCGTACTCAAGGCAGTCTGAAGCTTACTATATCACCATCACAATTGCTTCTTCTATATGCGCAAAAGGTGATGCCGACACGACCTACACCGGGCCAGAGAGTATGACCGTAGATTGGTAGTCTACTGGTCGGGACACACTATTCCTCTAACAAACTAATACTAATGCCCAAGGCTATCTCTTCGAGCAGACTGTCATGTAGTGTAGAGTGTAGGCGGCGTATCGGCACAGCATACACGACACTACAATAACTTCCCAGGGGCAAGATTTGCTGGTCCATCGCCTTTCAACCCCCCTTTTTGCCTGTTTGGGGGTGGCGTGCGGAGAGGGGCGCGGCCAATTCCCTGGAAATTCAGGGACATCTCATGATTCTGGTATGGAGCAGCCGTGAATCGTGGGTAAAGTGAAATATAAATAAATATCCAGATGCAGATGGGGAAACCCCTGGCTAAGACAAAGAGAGGTACGTGTACTACTGCTAGTGTAGCAGCTGTCCGAGGCGGAAGGTGAGACCATAAGCGGGAACGACGGAGATTGACCAGGAGAAAAATAACTAATACCGTGCTAGGCCACTAATTTTTTTTTTCTTTGACGATCGCTTCTTCTTCGCAGGTTCGCGGAATGGTCGCATTGTCTGCTACCGAACTACGTGAAAAACAGGTAGAAAGAGACGCCCCGCGCTCCGGTAGAGATCACCAAAACGTTATGCTTAGGTCGCCTTGTGTTCTGTCACCTGGATCTTGGGGATGGACAGGAATGTGTATCAAGCTCTCATTAAAGACCGCCTAACCCAAGGTAGGCAGTAGGTAGTACCATGTGTTTGCTGCTTGTCAAGAGGAATGAGGATGTGGCTGAGATGAAAGCTTGAGACGACCAAACCTCGGCTCCCACTTTAACCTCGTATCTTAGCTCGTAAACTCTGCCTTAGCGCACTTACATACACTATTTACTACGTAACTATGCGCAGAGTAGTATGTTAGATCTTGAGCTATTACAGCCAGAGGACAAGAGAGAAAATAAATCCGGACGCAAAAGAAAACGGGGACGGCGGAAGTGACATCGGCAAGGTTTGACAGGACGGGCGCCTCTGGTAGTACCGTTAGCCCACGATCGGCGCCGTCAAACATACCACTTACAAAGTCAGTACTCCAGTTCTGCTCGAGTCAATATACTCTGAGACAATTCGACACTAGCCAGCAGGCCAACCTTGTCATCCTTTGACTCGTAGCCTTAGACAATGTCCACTAATACTACCACCACACCATAAAACAAAGAGCCGAGGGCTCGAGGCTTCGACCCCTTATCATTCGTTATCTTGACTCTGGGTATAAACTGAGTATCCGTAGGTTAGGTCGGTAAATACGAATTACTATAATCATGGAGGGCTCCCCTGCCAAGCCGGTTTAGCCAACACACATGGAGGGCCTCAGTTGCATTTCGTTACCACTTCGCCATGACTCGGTGGGCCCGTCCATGTGTGTGTGTGTCTGTGTGTGTGCATCTGGTTGTCATGGCCGACGCTTTCTAAAAAAATTTATAGGAAGAGAGAAAAAAATTCCAGTAGAATTCTAGGCCCCCCATCATCCCTGCAACATCGAGCCGAAACGCCCGGATCGACACATCACACTAGGACGGGATTCTAATGTAGCGCAACTTATAGTTCCCTCACTACCTACAAACAATACCGACGATCTAAGGTGTAGTCTACCCAGAGTAAGTGCCGTAGAGGACGGGAAGGAAAAGTAGGAACAAGGCTTGGGTGAGCTAAGCCTGACTACAGTACTGTACTGTAGGTTGCTTGATATATTCCTCTGCGACGTTGCTGCTGCAGACGTCAGGTCCGATGCTACCCCTCCAATACTACCGCCTACTCTCCTCTATCTTGGGGGCTGCTGTCGAAGTGCGGCGGTGAACCTGTAAGAGACTCTTTGATAGGTTCGACGACGACAACAACAACCACAACAAAGCGCCATCATTATTTACAGTCAGTACTTGCAGTATTCTAGTATACTATATAGCGTAGCATCAGTATCACCCTTCGGATTATGCATAGTCATCCCCGCCAGAAGCCTGTTATTCTGCAACATGCTCAGTATGTCCTCTACCTTACCTGATCATGGCACCTGGGTATCACAAAGCAGCTACATATACCAATCCGTAAACGTGAGGACTAGGTAGTCTGCAATGCAGAGAAACATCTTGAGTTATCCTTTTCTTTTTCAGTCTATAAGGCGATCAAACTTTGGCATCTGTCACATTCTGCACATACAGAGTGATCACTCATATGTGAACTGAGGTAAGCAAGCATATAGTGGTGATGCTCACGACTATTACAACTTAGTGATTACACCAGGCTGTTAAAAAGAAAACAAAATAAACGGAATTGCATGATGCATCGCCGAATCGACAGCGATAGCTCCGAGACAAGACCCACCAGAATACCAAATATCAACAATCCGGCCCTCTTGTCTCATCAGCTACCCACGCCGTTGGGAATTCGAGGACAGCTTCTCGGGTTGTCATTAATTTCTTTTTCTCTCTCTTCTTCTATAACGTAATACGCTTGCCTCGACTAGTGATCCTGACCTAAGCGGTTATATAATGAGCTATCATAAGCAGGCTGAGGTATACATTGTGTGAGAGGGTACTCAGTACGCTGGTTACTGCGTCTCGTTCCCGAAAATACTACCCCAGATTAACCAAACAATATGACATTTCACCTGTTACTGTCCTGACATAAACTTTGCTATTAAGAGGGGATCAAAGCTTTATCCGGCAAGCAACAGATTCCCAGTGCAACAATTGCGACATCCCTACAGTATTACCTAACCGCCGCCCGATGGTTAGCAGGCAAGCAGGTAGGTGTATATCACGCGGGAGCAGACGCCTCACTCACCGACTTTATTAGCATGTTCCTTGTTGTCATTTTTATTGTTGTTCTTGTTACCGTGAAAAATGTTTGCAGAAGAGTCACTGCAACAAGAAACAACCCATGTGCTATGAGCCCGGAAACACCGACTGAACTCTACCACTTTAAACATCGATTAAACAGCCAAATAAGATAAGATTAAGAGAAGTAGAGCCTTTTAAAGACTTAAGTAGTTTAGTTCATTTGATTATCTTATTTTACTTGTTGAATGATTGCGGTTTGAAATAGCAGTATATATGGTGTAGAGTTGTGAAATGGGTCTTTTTTGTTGCATATGTAGTAAGTAGGATCCCTTACTGGACGTCGTGCGTGCGTCCACGGATGACACGCCCAGAAAAATTCCCTATTCGTACAACGGGTGATATATTCTATAGTGGCAAATGACATGCCTAACCTGGTAGATCGTCTCCTCCATCTAAATAAATGCACATGACATACCGCCTCGCTATAGTACCAGCCCGGGATAATCTTGTCTTGTCTCACCCCGTTTCGGGCAGCCGGACGCCCGGTCTCCTTTGGCCAAAGATAGATAGATAGATAGTCTCTCCAGGAGGTCACTGCTGCACAAATGTAGTGTATGGGTGCATCCCGTGTATGCACAGTTACGGTAAATATACTGAGTATGTAATAGGTAGCATGCGCACAGCAGGCACGCAGTGACCGTTATATCACATAACATAAGCAGAATATTTTCTTTTGGTGTTGTAGCAGACAACTTTTCGTTAGCAGGTTTGGATTGAATTGACTAGATCATGCAGATGTAGGTATCAGTTCTGAAACCTCAGCCCGAGATTTTGACGTACATTACCTACCTGACGGATTACGGTGGAGCAACCGCTTTACATCCCTCTGCGACTACGCCCTATGGGGGTCCCTGCTACCATAGCACTGGGTATGGAAATCTGCATTGGACCGGCACGGTCTAGGAGCTGAGCTGTACGATGTCGTCGTCGCTTGGATATCCTCGCTCAGATAATCAAGCCTTCGTGGGACCTAGTTGGAGCGTGTTAAAGAGAATAGAAAACAAAAGAGAAGACGACAAAGAAAAAAAAAAGACAAAGAAAAAAAAGAAGAAGACAAAGAAGAAAAAGAAGAAGAAGAAAAAAAAAAAAAAAAAAAAGACAACAAAGAAGAAGACAACTAAAAATATCACAACAAGTCGGGTTGAAACCTTTATAAATGATAATTCTAGTAATAAAAATGGGAAAAAAGAAACGACAACGGCAGGATTTGAACCTACGACCCCGAAGGGATATGATGTCACTATAGAATTCTAGTCATACGCTTTAACCACTCAGCCACGTTGCCTTGGATGAAGGGTAACGCGGGAATAGTAGATTATGATCGTGAAGCGGGGGGCTTCGTGAACTATGGTGGGGCCGTGCACTAGTCCCAGTTCTAGTGTGAGACGGGGGGCCCACTAGTAAGGGAATACCTAAGTTACAATAATGGTCGTCTTTTCTTTCTTCATACCAAACAAATCATGCTTAGGCCAGGGAGTAAGCAATCATTCGACCTGGGACGATGGGCTAGTATACCAATAAGACCCGGACACATGCGTCGCCGTAGATGAAAATGCTGTGCTGTGTGCGTTGTGCCGGGTTCCAGGGACGGGGGGAGTCGGGGGTTTATCCAGGAAGCCAACGCTGCACATACGCAGTAGTTCTACACTACAGTCATCATCATCACATTTTTCAGTTTTTCGATTTTACCCCATTTTGTGACCAATCCTAGGGTAGCAGTGTATAAACATTGCGCGTTCGACATCCCGATTAATCGACGGCGGGGTCTGAGAAGCTGACTAGAGGATCTTACACTGGGGTTCATCCCGAGGATTTCGTCGGCGACTCCGTAGAGCCTCATCTTTCTTCTATCACTGTCTAAGCTTATCTTACTACCAGTAGCTGACAGCAATTGGAAATGTTGGATCTAGGTAGGGGATTACGGGAACGTTGTTCCGGAAGCAAGGGGTAAATCGCGAATTGAAAACGGTCAAGTGAAAATTAGCGGTCTGATGACAACTACAACTATGGTAGAAACTGAATGTGATGACTTGGAGTTAAAGTGCGCGATTCCACGAAGTCTCTTCTCTCGTCAACCCGTTGAAGTAAAGAAAGAGAAAATGCTCAATTTGTGGTGTCCTTGCGGGCCCGTTATTCCGTTTATTCATCAATCATACTCGTATAACGTGTTCATATGATCCTTCAACAAATATGCTAAAACATAACAAATAAATAAAAGAAAAAAAACATCGCAGACTCTTTCATCTTTCCTCCCTGAGAGGAGCCAAATGGACATTCTGGCAAAACTATAATTCACCTTGCGAACGCCGTATTACCCAATACTCTTGTCAATCCCTGAGGACTTTTGTGCAAAGCTGTCTATAAGGAGTCGGGTAGTCGTAAATCATTGGAAAATATTTGCCTCCGTTACGTCCCGCGTGGAGACAAGGCTCGTTTCGTGGTCAAACAAATTGCTAACATGTTGCGTTCTCCCCTCCAAAAGATTAAGAGATAAAGCAAAAAGCACCGTCAAACGCCGGCCATCTAGCCGCTGGATGACCTATGATGCAGAGAGTTCTTGTGGCATAGACAAGTCAGAAAGTCAAGAACAAGTATGGCTGGTTGGCTGCGCTGATAAACGAATACGTGTGTAACCCAAATTATACCAATCAAGTGCTCAGCTTCCAGGAAGTGGTACGTGGTAGTTAGAGGTGTGCGGAACTAGTCGGTCGGTGGGTCGATCGAATAATCAATCGTCTTGTTGCGCTAAAGCACTCTTGCCTGGATAAACGCCGCCGTGGAGAACATAGTCCTCAAAAGGTAGACAGCTGATGGTGTTGCGTGATGACCGAACCCACCCAGGCTTCGGGACAACTTCCCAATTCTCGTCGTTGAGTGGGTAAAAGTTGTAGGTCTCGTGCGAGGGGAGGTCTTGATGCTCGCAATCGAATATGCCCTCGAGGTGCATGCGTTCGAGCTTCGGTAGCTTTCTGCGAAGGCCGGTGAAAAGGGATCGGAATGTTCCTTCGTAGAGATGGATACCTCCATGCGATGCCTCGAACGGTTTGGCTAGCCCGCGGCCACCCAGTCGCAATCGCACCAAGGTGGCACCGTGTCGACCCAAGAACTCCTTGAGGTCCTCTTCGTCACAAGAGATACCTTCTAGCATCAGATCTGTGAGCCGCGTGTAGGTAAACCCGAAGAACAGCTCCCTAAAGGAGAGTACAAATTTCGAATGTTCGCTCGAATAGGGGTGGAAGGCGAGCTTGAGGTGTGTTACGTTTTTAGCAAGCTGGAGGATGCGGCCCAGTCCATTGACAGCCCTAAATGCTGACGTGGGGCCTTGAAGGCCAGAGGGGTCGAGAGTCAAGTTGAGGCTGGACAGAGTATGGAAAGACTGGGCGTGCGTAAACCAGTGTGAACGATGGTTAGCCAGCCGGAAAACCTCGAGCGGAAGTCGGTCCACTTTGAAGGAAGAGAGCTTGATCCCGTGCAGGGCAAACATAATCGCATCCAGGTTCTGATAGGTTTCCTGTCGGTCCAGCTTCCTGCAGTTAGGGTAGAAGAAGGCCTCTTGAATGCACCTGTTGTTCAGCGTGGAAGGGCATCGCGCAAAGGAAACCTCGAGATCCTCCAGATTTGGCAAAGCTGAGCAGGCCTCCCGGAGATCGTCAGCCCTCAGATGGAGGGGTCCGACCTGCTTACGCCCGGCTGCGATCTTCTCAAATTCCACTCGGGCCTGTGCCATCAGCTCAGCCCGTTCTATCGGGGGTGCCACAAAGTGCTGAGCCCTGCTTAGAATTATATTAGCTAGGCCTTGGTAGAATAACGAGAATTGTTGATAGTCCCCAGTCCTCATCTTTCGAGGTCGATCCCTGAGAAAAGTCACAGCAGAGATGCCGTATGTATCACGAGAGCTGTACGACAATTGAGAGAGGAGATCTAGGTCATCTTACCATGAAGTGGTCCATGCATTCCCGTAGGACAGTTCTCCAAGAAAAATGTTGATCGACTTGATGCTTCCCCTCAAGCGTTCGTGGAGTGCGATGCAGTGCAGCCGATCAATATCATTGCGCCAGTTCAGCGAGGTGAAATGTGGCGATAACAAGTATTCATAGCCGACCTCTGCAAGAACTCGACTCGCGGCTCGTAAACTGGGAACTGATTCATGATCACAATAGGAGTAGATGAGCCTAAGAAGCTCAACGGGTAGAGCATCCATGAGGAAGCGAAAGGTGAGAGGATGCTCTGCTGACGTGCACGTTGTGTATGGGACGAAAAGGCGGGATGGGGAAAGTATTATAAGTTGGGTGATGAGGGAAACCGCCAAACTCCGCCAGATGATGGGTTTAGAGGAAGTCGGAAACGAGAAAAGCTTCTGAATTTATCTTGGCCCCGGAGCAGACAGACCGATATACTGAAGAGAGAAAAAGTTGAAAAATGCAAATATATAAATATATATGTATGCACCAGGGACCTGAGAAAAAGGCAGAAGCGGTCGAGCAGCGTGCTGTTAACGAATAGGCGGAGAGAGCTTCAAATGTGCATTTCTGCAGCAAGCCTCTCCGATTTAGGACAAATGAAAAAAACGACTAAAACTATCGGTGAGAGTGAGACACACGTAGGCACAGACTGCTATCTTACGGGCAGCGGCAAGCTTCCAAGCTTTCTCGTGGAATGACTGGCGGGCGAGCCTGGCGAGATTGGCCTGAGTGGCCGCACGGGGGCCCTGTCGGATGGATCTGACTACTCGGTATCCAGTGCAGTGTCCAGCCTGAGCCTGACAGCAGACGGCCATGAAAGGTGCACAGCGAAAAAACAGCGCCATGCGAAATGAAATCGCCAAAGTAGCGGTATAGTAGCGGTAAGGCGGGAGTGCGCGTGGTGTCACACCTGCAGAAATCCCATGCCTCTGCCTAACCCGAACGGGACGTTACGGTGAAGGGAGTCAGCGAAAACCCTGCACGGTGCCATCCGGCCGGGCCTCGCACTGTGGCCTGCCCGCTACCTGTCACGCTGGGGCGCCTCTGCAGTACCTGCATTAGATTCCACGAGGCGGCTTGACACTGTGGTTTCTCGGTGAGCTGGGACCGGCGCTGGGACTCTTGACTCTGCTAACGTTGGGACATGCTGCCAGCAGATCGCCGTGATTCGCCTGCGTCATGCTGGGTCGCTAAAGGGGGCCCCTGGTCGCATGCCAGCTCGCTAACATGTATACTACTATATACACTAGCTTTGCTAGGTAGCTCGGACGGCCCCCCGAATCACTTAAATCGCTACCCGACCGGGAGGGTGATGAACGTAACGAGAACTAAAGCACGCTAGGATACGGTACTTACGCTAGAAGGTGAGACGAACGATAACTTCACTCAGTCACATGTCCCAGGTATCTGTCCGTCTTTGTGAAGAACGATTGTGAGAGGTATCATGTTATACGAAGACCGACTACCATCGATACTATCGACTCCTCACCCATCCATCCTGAACAAGGTACATACATACCTACTCACTTCGTCTCTCGTCGAAGAGTACTATAAGTATCTTGTCCATCATTTGGCACCATCTCAGATCATTCGCCGAGCGCGCCTAAAAAAGAGCTATGCACCTTATCCACCGCATAACTCGTCCCGGTAACTGGGTACCGTGCCTGGTCCCAACCCAAGCTACCGGCTAGCAAGGATAGCCCGAATGGTTTGAGGCCACGCCGCCAAGAGGATCACTCAACACGTCAGTGCCCTAGCGCGGCATGTCTTCCAGACCGCAAGATCCCCGACTGCCTATAACTTCCCGTGCCGTGCCCGGAAGAGTTCCACCTTGTCGTCGTAGTAAAGAATTTCACGTAGACGCAGCCGTGGTGGTGGCTTATTCGTTGCCGCTTCCGCAAACGAGTCTGCCTCCGATTCACCATCATCAGACGTCTCTATGAAATCGTCATCGGCGTCTGAGAAGGAGTCGTTGTCAATCTCGTTTTCGTCCTCGGTGTCGTCATCGCCTTCGCTATTGCCGTCGATGTGATTTGCATCGCCCACAGATACTGCGTGGTCACCGTCTTGGACGCGACTATTGACCCTATCGCTCTGTTCCGTGATTTCGAAGCAACTTCCCCATAGCCCCACATAGGCGAGGCGTATCTCTCTTCTCAAGCTAATGATATCTACGATCTGGAGGGCCAGCTCTTTGGGTACTGGCGGCGTCGGACCATAGAGACTAGCCATTTGCGGAATATAGAGAGAGCGCAAATTCGCCAATTGGGGCAGCTGCTGTAGAAATGTATGCTGTAATCCATTGGGTTAGTGGGCTGTTCCA